TGTGTGTGTGTGTGTGTGTGTGTGTGTGTGTGTGTGTGCCACACTAATGTCACTGAAAGGTCATTCGAGTGATGTGAGAGACTCACCAGGGGGTTCCTGAAGAATTCATATTTGGCATAGTTCTTCCTGAAGAGGAATTTACTGTCGCTGCTCATGGAGGCTTGAACCTGGACCACCAGCTCATGGTCTTCCAGACACCTCTCTGTATGATGACACACACAGACTGTTAGTCACCTCAGCTTTGTCACCTTTGAGCTGCCCTCAGGGAGTAAGGGCAATACATGCATATATAAGGTATGACGACACACAAAAGTCACTGTACCTCAGTTTTGAGATCACGGTTCAGTGCACACCCAAGTTGTGAGGTTACGGTTCGGTACAAACCTCAGTTTTGAGGTCACATTTTGGTAAATACCTACGCTTTTAGGTCACTGTTAGGCAGCTACTTTAGTTTTGAGGTCACTGTTAGGTACGTACCTCAGTTTTGAGGTCATAGTTAGGAACGTACCTCAGTTTTGAGGTCACGGTAGGTAGCTACTTTAGTTTTGAGGTCACTGTTAGGTAAGTACCTCAGTTTTGAGGTCATAGGAACATACCTCAGTTTTGAGGTCACGGTAGGTTGCTACTTCAGTTTTGAGGTCACGTTTAGGTGCATACCTCATTTGTGAGGTCACAGATAGGTACATACATAGTTTTGAGGTCACACTAAAGTATGATTTTTGGTGATGCAAATAATTACAAAACATTAAAATATATTTTTTTTCTTTTCAAAACATTTAACAGTAGTTCACATGTCATTTTTAAAGGTTGTAATACTGCTGCAACTGGCTGCAACCTATTAATAAAGTGCACATACACACGTATAATTTCAGGTACTCTAGCTGATCTTTACATACTTTGCATTTCCTTTCTCTTCAGTTTCTAATACGGAGTAACTGATCATATAAATTTGTGTATTATGAGTGGACATGGGTATAACTTGGAAATTATTTGTGCTTCAAATCTTGTGACAAGTAAATATAGAGTTTGCTGCCTTTTCTTAGTCTTATCGCAGAGTCACAGTTAGCAGTACATGCCCTAAATGCTTAATGATTGAAATTAAGCACAACCAAATGCTTTATTGGAAATAGTGATAAGATGATTATTGTAGTCAAACAATCAGTAACTTGAGGGTGTAGTCTCACCGACTTCTTTATTTACCACGACATCAGTGGTTATACTATGACACAGCAAGAAAAATCGCCTGTTACTAGGAGACGAGCTAGAGAGTAGCAGGTTAAATGAGGAGGGGCTGTGAAAAGAAGACTGTGAAGTGCTGTGAATCGGGCGGGGGTGTGGGGGGGGCCGATGGTGGAGAGGAGACGTGGTATGAGATGGCGAGGGGAGGGGGGGGCTCATTGCAGGAAGATGATGTCATGTATTAGGGCTGATTGCTGAGAGCAGCGAAGCCATAAGCAAAGTACAAGCCACAGACAAACACACAACCACACATTAAGAGCTCACACAGACCTAACCTGCTTACTGTGCACCACAGAGGCCCGCTCACTTTCTGTGTGTCTGGGTGAGTGTGCATGTGTGCGCTTGTGTGTGTGTGTTCTACTCTTTCTTGAAATTGAGGACATATAATCTCAGTGAGGCCGATTAGAAATTGATTATGACAGGATGTTCCAGTTCTGCAGACACACACACACACACACACACACACACACACACACACACACACACACACACACAAAATGATAGCAAGCAGGGTTTAGCACTAATTCATCCTTCCAAATGAACACACGTAGTCTTGCTATCTTGAGGCAAAGCACAGCCATACACACACATTTTGGTTGTTTTCACTAAAACTTAAAGTATACTCTCTGTATTTAGTGGTAGAAGTGTCTGGGCTGTGTGTGTGTGCGTGTGCGTGTGCGTGCGCGCGCGCTGGCTACAAACAGGGGAATTTCCTGTGGAGGGTTAAGGAGAGATTGATTGGCTAGGAAGACTAGGGGCTCGTCCGACAGAGAGCCACCATTGGTTCCTTGCAGCTCTGGTATGACGCTTTAGTCCAGACCTCTCCGCTACCCCCTCCCTCCTTCCTTCTCTCCTCTGTTCCTCCATCTCTCTCTCGGACTCCCTCTCTTTTCCCTCCCTCCCTCTCCTCACCTCACATTCCATCTCTCCAATGCACTTTTTTCCAGAAACGCAGATCAAGCAGCAAAACACAAAGTGATCCTTTGACTCTAAAAATACAACTCAGCTGTAGGAAAGCCTCACAGAGAATAAAGACTTAACCAGAGAAAAAAAATAGAGCATCAATCGGAGGCATGGCAAAAGTTAACATTGACATTTTTTTCCCTTCCTTTTTTCCTCCCAAAGTGAGTTATTCAGGAGAGCACAGCCATGTGAGCAGAACATGGAAAATAATTAATCCTATGACCAGCACAACTCCCTCCTCGAGCAGTATAGAAAGCATAAAAGCACTTGTGCCATGCTCAAGTGAACATACACACTGAGGGTACACACAAGAGAGTATCCCCACCCATGCAGAGCTAGAGCATGGCACAAAAGGGGTATAAAAAGCACCTGCAGAAAAGACACTCCGAAAGATAATCCTAAAAATTCATACGGGGATCTTACTAATTGACTCATCTTTTAGCTTCTCTACACTTCTACAAGGCTGATATAACCAATCAAGACATACTTTGCATCAAATGTGGCATGCTTTTTTATGGAAAAAAGGCTAAAATTTGTGTTCTTCAGGAAAATATGACTGATATGGTGACTGATTCAGCATGACTGGAAGTTACCCTGCTGCCTAACCTTTTCACAAACTGCTACATCACATCACGTCTGGATGCATGTACACACGCAAACACACACAGGCATTGTTACCAAGGCCGAGGATGGGGTGGTGCTCGACCAGTGTCCAGGCGTTGTCGTCCAGACAGTGGCTCTTGTAGACCAGGAGCTGGCAGACGTCTCTGGCCGTCATGTCTGCTGGGATCTCCACCACTTTTCCGGCCCCATCCTCGCTCCACACCTTCACTATCTGAAAACACACAGGAATATTGATTACAATATGTAGATAAAAGCAGCAAAGGTAATTTTTTGAAAGAAAAAAAAGCCTCGTAGCAATGAGAAGGCGTGACAGGTCCCGAGTTGCTTTCGGGAATTCAAATCGGTAGAGAAAATGAAGAATGGAGCAGATCTAGAGTTACATTTACCTCCATCACCAGGTGCTTTGTCAAGTCCACACTTAAAAACTCCTCTTTGCGTTTCTCTGTCACTCCAACATGGGCAAGTGCTTAAAAAAAGTAAGGCTGACTTCCAGGATAGGCTGACTGGCTGCTGCACTCTCAGCTCTAGCCTTTTGTCCACAGTGCAACCAAACTTACTCACACGCACATCCACAGATACGCATGTAAACCTGCTTGCGGACAACCCACAATGACACGTTTTTTTTTGTCATATACAAGAATAATCACGTTGAGGAAAGCAGAAACCACACATTCACACTTGGACAGGGAAATAACACATGTTGCATTTTGTGACTAAAAATATCGCCGCTGGGACCAGACGACGGACACAGTTCAAAGACGGAGCAACTTCCATTGTTGCGCCATTTTCAGCCAAGTGCTCAAAGCAACATTTAAAACGGGACCAAATTTGCCTTCTCACAGTGTGTTGCTGCACAGATAACCACAGACCAGCTGCTTCACACCACTGTAAGAGCAGATTCACAAACACCATAGTGAGCTCGCTCTCGCATGCAGCATAATACACAAACACATAAATGTGACAAAATGAACACCGGAAAGTGTCCGCAAACCAAGAGGACGACTGCGCTTCTATTCCATATATAGAGAAACATTGTATGTGCATGTATATTTTTCTGTGTTATCACACAGCTATGTACTTAACATCTTCTGTCCACAGCGGGGGATCTGCTGCCCCACACTTTACACTAAACTAAAAAGAAAATTTTTGAAAAACGAAACGAAGCACGAAGCTGGTGTCGGTCGAGGGTCCGGAAGGATGGGTTTGAGGAAAATGAAGTCGAACAATGGCACTGAGAAGTGGAAACACGCAAAACACAACAACATTAGTGGCCTAAGACATGGCACAAAACACCAAAAGCACCAGCGAGGCGACCCGATGAGAGAGAGACTCTGAATCCTTTAAGAAACAACGTCACATCGCTCGCTCCCCCTGCAAAGCCAGAAGACTCCCTCTCCTCTTCCCACACGCCCCCGTAACAAAAAAAAGTAAATTCATGGCGCATGAGCTTTGTTTGAGAAAAGTTTCATAAACATCACGCAGGGAAAATGCAAAGGTCCTCAACGTTGCAAACTGGTAACCACACACACATCTACACACACACACTCACAGATATCAAGAAAAGAAACACACACACACACATTCTCTTACCTCCACAGCCTGAAAGAGGCAACAGTCTGGAGAGCAGGATGGCATTTTCACACTGAGACGCTCTCCAGTGACACAGTGAGACAGAGAGAGGGAGAGAGAGGGAGAGGGAGGGAGGGAAGGAAGGAAGTCAGGAAGAGAGAGAGGGAGAGAGAGAGAGGGAGGGACAGATCGGCAAGGAGAATGCAAGAGAGGGGAGAGGGGGGAGGAAGTAACAGAGGAAGGACGAGAGCAAAAGAGAGACAGACTGAAAGAAAGAGAGAGAGAGAGACAGAGCGAAAAAGAAAGACAGCGCTGCCCCTTCTCTCTTTTTGCCGGGCAGCATAAAGGCTGAGCTGCGAGGAGTGGTGAGCCGCCGCCGCTCCTCCCCCCACCTCCCCTCCTTCCCCTCCTCACACTGGATTAACCCAGTGTGGGATTTTTGAAAACGGTGAGCTACTACCTGTCACGTACTTTGCACTCTTTATCTCCCAGGTTGCCTTCAAATCCCCTCATCCCTCCAAAAAAAATTACAAGGTCAAATTTCTTCTACAAACGTCGCCACAGAAAAAGTAACTGTCCCTCTCCCCAAAACACGCCCACACACACACACACACACACAGACACACACACACGGATAGAAAGAATGAGCTCAAACTACAAAGCCAATCACTGAACACACGCACACACTCACACACCTTATTCTTATGCATCCACTGACATTTTCTCTGAGCCGCTTGACGGTTTCAATTTCTACCCTCTCCCTCCCGCTTATCCTCCTCCTCTTCCTCTTCCTCCTCCTCCTCAACTGTATGTGAAATACTATGAGAGAGTGTTAGGACCAGAGCAACATGTGTAACGCACACTGATGGCTTCGATGGTCCCAAAAAGGAGGCAGCTGAAAGTCTTTGCAACAAAAAAAAAAAGAAAGAAAGAAAATGGTGCGGTGATTTGATCTGGAGCTGTGTGGATCACGTGTCGGGCGTTTGGGCTTTGCTGAGGGGGTCAAGGGAGGGGTAGGGAGGGAGGAAGGTAGGGATAGGGGGGGAGGTGGTTGCTCAGCAAATCTGCCCAGCCTAGGGAGAGGTAGACAGAGAGAGAGATAAAGGAAGAGGAGGGAGGGGGGAGAGGAATGGAGAAAGAGAAAAGAGGGAGAGCTATGGAGGAATGTCAGTAATGCAATACTGAGTCATAATCAGGCTCATGTGTAGCGTGCAGGCCAACCCAGCTGGCCCCTAATACAATGTGCATGAGAACTGTGAGCCACGCGCACACACACACACAAAAGGGAGACAGAATGTAAACTCTGACAATCGGCTCCAGCAGTTTTTTCTTTTGACATTACTGTCAATTTTCCTGCAGTCTCAGGCGGTAGTTCTGCAGCCATCTGGAGAGCACTGGCTCTTATTGAGCGAGTGTGTGTGCGTGCGTGCGTGTGTGTGTGTGAGAGAGTATAATCCATGTTTTGGTATGTGATGAGCACATGTGAAAGAAAGGGTGGATATACAGCAAGAGATAACACGCTCACATTGTGCAACATATGGAGTTTTTCTTTCCTTTTTTAGTCTACAATTCCATGTGTTAATGTATTTACTCTTTAACTGTTCAACAATTGTTTCTGTACACTAAACAGTTATGCATCCCTTTGCGTGAGGAAATTTAACGCACCTTGGTGTATTTCTACCCCTCCCCTGCTTCCCTCTCTTAGTCCCTACCAGAGGAGGGTGAGTGGTGGAAAAGTACAGTCCCCACACATACACACATAAAAAGGGCTTAGAGTTGTAGCATATTGGATTGAAGGGTCATGGACAGACACCTGCATATATACATGTATTCATATACAAACACACAAGCGCGCAAACACACACACACACACACACACACACACACACACACACGAGGAGTTTGTACAGGGTCGGAGGTCAAATGCAATAATCTGCGCCAGGGTCAGGCCCACTTGACCAAGAGGTTTATGGGCCCCTAAACCTATCAGGCTATACGCTAACACACACACACACACACACGCACACACACACATGCAAGTATACAAACTAACATACACATACACACAAGTGATCTGGTTGTTATAAGCCAGAGCAGATCTCTTCCACAGTAACTCAGCACGCAGATTGTAAAAGCAAACATTGATTCACTCAGACTGGGGTGGGATTGCGGTGGATACTACCTTTCACCCAAATGGGTCTGCAACTGACAACATCTGCAATGCTTTTTATTATTTCTACATCATTGTAGAAAATTAAAATTAAAATGATAAAGTAACTGGGCTAAAAAGTTAAAATAAGTTTAAATTTAGGTAGAGGAGAAAATCAAACCTGGAAGGATAATGTGGTTTTTATTGTTTCTTTCTTTAGAGAGGATGAGGTAATTTGACTGGCGAAGTGGCTACTGAATAGGAAATACATTTTTCTGACGTGATAATGGAAGCACTTTCTTGAAAATGACACATTTTGACAGATCATTCATGTAGGACTCACAGTGATGGATTCCATCTCAAGGGGGAGGGAAAGCCCTACAACGACACCAGTAACATACTATCACCTCACTGACATGATGACCAGGTTAGACTTCTTTTAGACTATATTGCAGTTACAAATTATTCATTGTTATGTTCCTGATGAACGGGCCGATGAATGCAGGTATATATTTAATGCTAATTTTTGTTTTGTGCTGAGTTGGGGGCACACAGTGGGTTTATCAGCTTTTATGCTTAAAACTACAGATTACTGCTGCTCAATATGAGCAGTGTGACGGAGCCAAACCAGCTCTGCGACTTTGCGTCAAAACAATGAGCTGAAAGATGCTAAAACACTAAAAAATCTCAGGAGTGATGCTTCTCTGTATTTTTCCTGATTCTCTAACGCAGCAGTGACTCTACAATGAAAAGTTCCATATGAACATGGGCCTACAGCACTGACAATATAGATAATAAAACACGCATGCATAACATTCCACCATGTCCAAAATGAGGAAAAACTATTCCAATGCAGTTATCACAGTCCATCAGAGCTGGGCTCATTGTCGTGAGATATTTAAGGCGTTTAACGGCACGCTCACTCTCACTCAAGGCCACCTGTGGGACCACCTGCAAACTTCTTATCTAAATGTACTGTATATACAAATCACATGTTGGCTAACACTGCTTTGCATCTCCTGCAATTCATCTAATAATAAAGTGGATGTTGCTGCATAGCTACATTAGCTTTAGGCATAGCATCAAGTCTATTCCTATACTTTGTAGTGGTAGCATCAGAAGAACCAACAACAACAACGCCTTGTTGGACGCATCAGTATATTCTAAGTGAGCATCCATCCAGGAATGTGCCAAGTGCTTCTGTGTGAGGATCAGGTTCAAAGCAGTATCTCAGGCTGCGTAGCTCCAAGGCTGTCCTGCTCTGCAGAACTGATGTATCCTCCGCTGTCTTTGTTCAGAAATTCACACAACTTGTCAAAGGACTAGTCGTTGTTCTGAACCACTCTCCTGTGCTACATCTTCACCTTCTTTATTGTGCCTTGAATCCTGGTCACTGCTTTTCCTTGGAGGGATAGACATTTAAGTGGATATTTTGCAAAACCAACTGTTTCTCTGCATTTGGGCATCTCATCCACACACAAACAGAGATTTCA